TGTAACAAATCATCCAGGACCAGTCCTCCACTTTGGTATTGTGGGGTACTCACCTTAGGCAATGGAGCATAGGGAGCAACAGTCCCATTGCTGCAGAAAGTCTTATTGATGGAACAGATGGAGGACAGCTGTCTCACATGTGTGACTTTGAGGATCAGGTTGCTGCTATTCAAGTAAAAAAAGTGAGAAGCATAACCAAAGACAGAAACAAATACAGGACCAGTCCTCCACTTTGGTATTGTGGGGTACTCACCTTAGGCAATGGAGCATAGGGAGCAACAGTCCCATTGCTGCAGAAAGTCTTATTGATGGAACAGATGGAGGACAGCTGTCTCACATGTGTGACTTTGAGGATCAGGTTGCTGCTATTCAAGTAAAAAAAGTGAGAAGCATAACCAAAGACAGAAACAAATAGCAACACAATAAAAGCAGAACTTTAGAATAATAAGTTCACCTTCCCCAGCAAGAATAACTGGCTTAAAAATCTTACCACAGAAGAAAAACCCAAAAAGGATCTTTTCACATCCTTCCAAAATGAGAGAAGAAATTGTCTCTGTCTTTATATTTCAGAAGCAATCTCTGAAGGGATAGCAGAATCAAGTACTAACGTTATTTCTAGATGACAACGTCAAGCTGTAAGTCATGTGTAGCTGCACACTCAGTGGGGCTGAAGCATTCAGATATTCAAATACTCCCTTGCAGATGGTGAGACACTTCTGTCTCCTGATTCTGCTATGAGGTGTGTAGTGTCAGCATAAATCATTGCACAACAAAAGAGGCTTCATCTTCATTTGAATCCCAGAGCACACTGCAGCAATTAAAATCCCTGAATGCAAAGTAATTGAACAAAGGTGATGTTTTAAAAAATTATTACCAGGATGTGTTTTATGTTTTGCTTTTTAAAAAGAGATTTTTAAATTCCTTACAAAGGCTAGCAATTCTTTTAAAATGCATTCTGATTTATGACTGCTGAAGTAATATTTACAATGTTTTCACAACAGACACACCCTGAAAGCCAATCAATAGCTCCCAAGACCCATCTCAGAGAGATAGTTATCATTGCTGATGGTATCAAAAGCCACCAGTGACCAAGAAGAACCAACAGCGACACTCTCCTCCTGCCCACGTCTGGGAGTAGATTGTCCACCACGGTGAGTAAAGTTGTTGAGTCCTATAACTAGCTTTGAATCCAGATTAAAAGAGATCTAGAGACCATCTGTCTCACCCAGGAATCATTGCAGCTGAAAAGTCACTGTTCACTCCAATATCTTGCCCAAGAGTGGAATAATGGAAGTTGGCTAGCAGTTACAGTCATGTGAAAAAGAAAGTACACCCTCTTTGAATTCTATGGTTTTACCTACCAGGACATAATAAAAATCATATGATCCTTAGAAGGTCCGAAAATTAGGTAAATACAACCTCAGAAGAGCAACAACACATGACATATTACACCACGTCATGATTTACTGTATTTTACAAAAATGAACCAAAATGGAGAAGCCATGTGTAAAAAACCAAGTACATCCTTACTGTTTCCATAGGAATTAAGATGCTATGTAGCAGCCAGGTGCCCCTAACCAAATGTCCTTGGGTAACTGATCATCAGGAAGTGTGACCACCTCTATTAAAATAAAAAATTTAGCAGTTTGCTGGTCTGGAGCATTTAGGTGTGTGTTAATACAATAGCTTGTAGAACCACGTTTAGCAGCAATACGCTGAAGTAATCATTTTCTGTATGATTTCATTAGTCTTTCACATTGTGGGGGAATTTTGGCCCACTCTTTACAATGTTGCTTCAGTCCATTGAGGTTTGCAGGCATTTGTTTCTGCACAGTTCTCATAAGGTCCAGCCACAGCATTTCAACTAGTTTGTGGTCTGGATGTTGACTGGGCCACTGCAACATGGTGATTCTTTTCTTTTTCAGCCATTTTGTTAATAGAATCATGAATTTGGAAAGGACCTATAAGGACATTGAGTCCAACCCAATATCCTTTGAATAAAAATCAAAGGGTACCTGCCTGGTGGTTGTCTAAATTTCTCTTGAATGCCTCCGGTGTTGGAACACTCACCTCCTCTTGAGGTAATTGATTCCATTGCCATACTTCACTAACAGTTAGGAGGCCTAACCAATGCTGAATAGAGGGGAACGAATAACTTGCAGGATTTGGAGACTATATTTCTGTTAATGTAGATTAAAGTAACAGTTGCCTTTTTTGTAGTCACATTACACTGTTGGCTCATTCTCAGCTTGTGATCTATAAGGATTCCATTATCCTTCTTACTCATAGTACTGTTGAGCCAGGTGCCCCCATCTTGTAACTGTGCATTCGGCTTATTTTTCCTTTGCACTTACTTTGCACATAATTTGCACTTTATT